GACCCATAGACCAATTAGTATATGATTGCGTATTTTTTTTAAAAATTGTTATTTTTAATTTTAGCCAAAGTTTAAGTGGCTTTTCACATTTCTCTGATGAAGAGAGAGAGGAGGGGGAAGCCCATTAGTACGTTTTATTCATTTATTTATTTTATTCATTTATTTATTTATTTATAACAAAGTAATGCCTCATTAGTAAGTCACTTATCACCTCCCTCATCAAATTTAGAAGAGATATTTATTTATTTCAAATGGCGGGATTTATGATACTTATCATTTGCCCTTCAGCTGACTTCGGACTTCACAGAGGGAAAGAGGAACATCAAAGTGGGAAAAATTGGAGAGGGGGGGGGGACAGAAGAGTGACTCAAAAATATAAAAGAGACAGACAGACGCAAAGGCAGAGAAAGGGTAGGATAAGTATTGTGGAAGTGATCGAATAAGACGAATAGTGGGATCATGGTAGTTTGAAGTCAGTAGTCGACTGCCAGTTAATAGACTTTTTTGCCGTATGAGAATACGTTGCCCAGAGTGTGCACCACGTGGAGGTAAGTCTATCGCACACCCCAATTTAAAAGATATAAAACTAGGTCTCATCTGAGAAGCTAATTAGGAAGGAAGAAGTATCATGTTGGGGCATGCAGTAAGCATTCGCGAGAGAGAGTAGTTAAAGTTGGATTGGTTTCAAAAATGGCTCTAATTGGGATAATGTGAATATGGACTATCGCAAATATTAATCAACTAATAATGACTTCCTGATTTTTGATTGGTTCTTGAAAGGAAAAATTTGTGCCCAGAAGTAGGCTGAAATATTTGTACAAGTTTGGAGAAACTTTTATGGTGAAATATTTTGTCCTGCAAGCTCGATTCGAGCTGTCATAAAATTATACAAATAATAATAAAAAATACATGCATTGATTTTAGTTGTATACTGGTTTAATAATAATTGTTTAATAATTGTTTTTTTTGTATTTAGCTCACGTCTGAGTGAGGCCTGTGCTAGGGAAATGATTGCAAAAGTTCTCACATCGGATGAAGGGTTGTTATTATTAACAATATATATTATTAATTTACATAATGATAATTATTAATAATATGATTTCCATTTATCGTAAAAATTATTCGCAGGAAGTATTCAATGTCAAGATTTTTTAATTTAACAGTCTTAGCTTTCACTAATACTTTGAGTTTTTTTCTGTTTATCTTTTTTGGGTCTTTTTTTTGCTTGACTTGGAATTCCATTTACAAAATATTCAGATAGGGGTTTCTTTCAGAATAACTTAAAATATAACCCCTATTAGGCTGATTGTTATCTATCAGGGTCTCATTCTTTGTTAATTTTGTAATTTCCTTTTTTGTTTTTTTAGCATCGAACCGCATGAAAATCCACAGCCTCCAAGAAACACCACAATTCCGGATCAGCCGACAATTGAACAACGGTAAATTTATTAAATACTCCTCTTACTAGAACGAAGAGTGTCATTTAGGGTTCTTCTAGGTCAAGCCATTGTTCGCATTTATTTGTTGAATAAAAAATTTTTTATGGTTGGTTTGGATGCAAATATTAAAGTTTTCATTTTTATTGGCAAAAATTTTCACAAACTGCACTCTGGTTAAGATATTCGACTAATTGATTTTCTCGTGTTTTACATTGATCAGAACATTTAGAGCCGCAATAAACCATCCAAAGATTCTAAGTTTTCAAGGTTTCGTATTGCATTTATTTATCATTATATATATATATATATAAAACGGCATTTCATAATCATTTAGCAGTAGAAGTAGGCCGGAAATTTTGGCTCTTTTATGCATTGACGCCATAGCGATTTATTCAAGACTCACAATAGTAACTAATTGCGCAAATTTTTTAATCACTTTAGACTCCAACCACAACAATACATACCACCCCAAGTGTCAGATGAAAAGGCAGAACCTTCGAAAACTGAAAACCTGTAAATTCGCCTAAAATACTTGCTGCTTGAATCACTCATGTAGTCTAAAATAATTTTTTTTCCATTCACTTGCAGCAAAAAAAGTCTGAACGAAATTCTAGATCGATATTCACAAAAAAGAAAGTAAGCTCCCGTAAAATTTAAAATTTATATATATATATATATATATATATATATATATATACACGAACCCCTCTTACCTCCAAAATGCCTCGAAGCTGATAGACATCATCATCTCGACCCTTCTCGCTTCGGTTTTGTGCCAGAAGATCAGAGACTTCTCTCCAAGTGATGACCTCCAATGCGATATCACTCAAGTTAGAAGTTCCATTTTGACAGACACCAAGAGATTCCTTCAAGTCGCGGAGGAAGGCAATAGTTTCTGGTCTTCGGATTGCATTCTTCAAAGAGTAACACGCACACACACGTATACAACAAAGCAGTTAATAGCACGTATTTCACTATTTAGGCCTATTGACCTCTATTCTAATGTGTAAAATAAAAGACATCTGACCTACTATAATAGAGAAGCTTCATATTTGGTAAACTGCGTGTAACTTGCTTGACTTGCCCTATATTACGCAATTTATGTATATATATATGTATATGAACTAACTCTGACTGGTAAAAATGTCAGAAACCTACTGTCACAGCTGTGGCCAAAGCAGTAATGAAGCAGGGTATTATTATGCATTCATTTCGAAGTAATTCTTTCATCTCCTCCGGTCTATTCGTGATGAGAACCTTTGGCAACACTGTTGGTGCTTCTTCATCACCTCCAAAATTATCAATGATAATTCTCCTGGAATCGGTTGGTGATTTCAAGATAGCTGTCTGAAGCAATCGATCACTACATCCAAGAGTCAAGTTTGCGAAGTTCTGCCTTCCTGGAATGCTGTGCCAGAATTCCACAGCGAGAATACTTCTGTTTACACCTTGTGGGCTTGGAACCACTGTACTGGCGATTTGTGGGAGGATTTCCATTCTCATTCGTCGAGCGGTGATTCGTGGGATTACCGAAGCGTTCGGTCCAGTTAATTCAGTTACAAGGGTCTACAAATGAAAGTGAATTTAATTAGATTGATGGTTCGATTGCTTCTGATTAAAGTAAAAGAGAATGAAAAGAGGAGGGGGAGGGTAGGAGGGGGGGGGGTTGAGTTACCGATAATTCATCCTGACGTAACCTAATGCTACTGTTGCTACCAGTCTGGCGACAGGGAAAGACGAAAAATTACTACTTGCTTTCTGGATATCAGCCACGTTTGTTGTTACCCTCTTATCTGATTACAGCTCAGGCGCCTTACTCAGGCGAGGCTGTTGTTCTGCTACTTCTGTTTCTCTTCAGGCAGAGCGGAGGGGGTTGATGATGGCTAAGTAAGGCAGGAAAAGGCGAGATCTCGAATCCGATAAGCCCTTACGAGTCTCTTCTGCTCTGCACTGGGAGAGAGAGAGAGAGAGAGCAATCAACAAGCGGTCCACCCTCTACTCTGATGTTTGATGTTCCCACCATCCCCCCCCCCCCGCTCTCCCTAAACTACACCACCTTCATACTATATTATCTCTTCCCCCCTCCCCCCCACCTCCTTCTTCCGCGTTTCATTAGGCGCACACAGAAGCGGCTGATTAGCCGATGGCGTCTAGTAACTAACATACCTTACCCTACCCTCCTCTCCTCTACTTACTTACCATGATTATAGTTTGATTGCTGGTCCGGGCATGCCTCGAAAAGAATGCTTATTACTCACTTGTTGAGTGGTGAAGACTGCCCAAAGAAAGTGAAAGGACTAGGCAGGTGGGGGGAGGGGTGAGAGGGGTGAGAGGGGGATGAAGAAGTCCATCAAGGTTGAGGGGTAGAGGGTAAGTAAGAGATTAAGGCGCCGATATACAGAGCGCTCTCCACGAGTTTTCCACCACTGGATTGGAGAGTGATACACTTAATGATAACTCTCTCTCTCTCTCCCTCTCTCTCTCTCTTCTAAGTTGGTGGTGGTGAAGAAGAAGAAGAGGGATTTAAGTAGCCACCTATCAGAAAGGCAGTGGGAAACGAGCTAACTCTCTCTCTCTCCCTCCCTCTCTCTCTCTCTCTAATGGAGGGCACATTATCTCCTTCCTACATCGTCATCATAACTTACGAGAATTGAGAGAGGGAAAAGAGAGGAGGGAAATGTCTCTTCGAGGTCAGTTTGAGTGGCGAAACTAAAACCTCCGA